TCTCTGCCACTGACGGGATTGAGCCTCATATATCTTCTTCATATCAAATATCTTCAGCCTCTTACTTTTAATGGTGGCAGTGCCAGGATGAGGATGTTAGCAGTCACAGAGGAAGGAATTCAGAGCAAGAGGACTCAACCTGAGGTGAGGAAAAGGGAAAAAAAAGGAAGCTGCAGCAAGCAGACTCTCTTGCCTGTGCCTTTGTCTCTTTGGAAAGCAGCAAGGCAGCTGCATCTCTGGATGCCACACTGTAAGGAATGCTATTTTGAAATTCTGAGGGACAAAACTCTTCCTATCTTAAAATTGAACACAATTCGAATTTATCTTTTCAGCTGCTGATTATGATTTTTGGTAGAAAAATTTCTGCTGGTTTCTGTGAGTTGCATTTCATGCATGAAAAAAAATACTAGTTCAAATTTGTTTCAAGAATGGGTAATGGGTTTAAATTGAAAGCGGGTAGATTTAGATGAGATATCAGGAAAAAATTCTTCCCAGAGAGGGTGGTGAAGCACTGGAACAGGTTGCCCAGAGAAGCTGTGGATGCCCCATCCCTGGATGTCTTCAAGGCCAGGCTGGATGAGGCTTTGAGCAACCTGGTCTAGTGGAAGGTGTCCCTGCCCATGGCAGGGGGGTTGGAACTAGATGGTCTTTAAGGTCCCTTCTAACCCAAACCATTCGATGATTCCATGAAAATCAGTAGTAGCCAAGCAGATACACACAAATACTTTAGTTTGTAAAATGCCATGTTCGCAATGCCACTAAAAAAGCTCAGATCTTAATTTTTCAAAATAATTGTTTGGAAGTCAGTATGCTTCTAAATGTAGACATACTTGAAATGTTTACTCTCATCAACGTTTTGTTAAGACACCCAATGACACCCTTACCACTTTGTATTTTTTCTATAAGTTTTGCAGAATTTAGTTTGTTCTGAGGCACCATTGTATAAATCGTTGGGTTTCTTTCTAGAGTTCTTTACAAAATTGTATCAGTTGCTGTTATTTACTTTCCACTAAATACATAATTTGTTCACATGCAGAATGAAAACTTTGATGCTTTTAAAAAACATAATTTTTTCAAGGAAACAATTGGGTTTTGTGGGTGATTTTTAGTGCTGTTTTAGATTTCTGTACTGTGGCCACTGCTGTCTGAGTATTGCCTGGTTTTGGCAGAACAAATGGTAACATGATTTATTGCTATCTTTATCCGCTTTCCTGAAATCATAAAGCACTATTACAATACAGTAATGTTCACAAGAACATCTTGTGAGGACAGAATAAAAATCCTAAGGTCATACATGACAGCAGTTCTGAGCTTTATTTTTCCTGGCTGTGATAATTTCTTTTCACAAGAAGCTGATGCTGTTATAATTGCTGCGACCTTGGAATGTTGGAAATCTTTCATAGACCCTTAACCTATATTTAATTTCAAATATACTCACAGCATGCTGTTCACCTCTAATTTTTATGCCCACGAAGCTCTGCATTCATATGCATTCAGGATTAATGCACAGTGTTTAAAATTAATGTACAAATTGAAGGATAAATTTGTCCATGAGACCCACACATATATCTGGGCAAATACACCTGAGCAGCTGAAGTCAGGAGGAGAATTTGATCTTTTGCATGTCAACACACTTAATTTTAAAAATTAATGGTTTCAAAAGACAGTATCTTAGAACATGAAAGGTGGTAAGACTACATATATCTCACTTGTACAGTCTGAAATACCTCACTGTGTTTTAACTGTAGACCTAAGCTTACACAGTTTTCCACAAAGTAACTATGGAAGTTTTTTAATAGGATCATGTTTGAAGTTTCTGCAGAAAGATGTGGACTTCATCCTTCCCTGACTGGGAACCATATTTACCTCTAATTCCAAAACATTTTCTGTCATAAAGACAGATAAACTTAGAAAAATAATTTGGTTTGTTTTCCTGATTTGTCTCTAGTCTATGTCTCTGGTCTATGTTGTAAGGATTTGACAGGAGACTGGAGAATTTTACTATATTTCAAATCACCCTCTACATATCAGTTTAAGTGTTATCTTTTTAGTTTTTTCATCTTCATCAGTTTAAAATTATTTTCAAGATACTAGTTAATTCTTGGTATATTTTGGGAAGTGAGATAATTAATAAGCTCGCGCTCTTCCTTCCAAAAGGAAGTGTGGAACTGCATTATTTTGCCTTTACTTTTAGATGGCATACTCACTCAATTTTCAACACAGATGTCACTGAAATCACCTGTAGTGTTTCATAAGAGTACTTGAGTCCAGAACTAGATACCTATTGTCACAGTTTTATTAAAACAAGGCAGTGAGATGGATCCATTTATTTAACTGGCCCGTTTTATTTTGCAGACTTGCAATCCATTCTACCATAATTCTACCACTGATCTACTTAATAATAGTAAGAAAAAATCCTTTTCGGTTTGCCATGGGGATGGCTCAGGCACTTCTGACAGCCCTCATGATTTCTTCCAGGTAAACAAAAGAAACGTTTATTTTCTGTAATGTTCTTAGTAGTAACTGTTTGTGCTCTGATTTTATCGTTACTTTGTTAAATGCCTTGATTTCACCTGGACAATTCTAAATCCCCTGGAAGTTGAAATACCACTTTCATCATCATTTCTGTAGTACCCAAAGGGGCACTCTGGATTGTGCTGGCCTTACATCAAACAAGAGTATGCCCCTCCCAGAAGGAGACAGTTCGCCGCTGTTCATTTCATTAGTCACAGCCTTCCTGGACTTTAAGCTGTTGCACTATTTCTGTGACTACATGCATCATGCAGTTTGGAGGATAACTAAGACTTTATTGTTTCTTTCCATAATTAGAAGAGATAATAAAGGTTAATTTGCTTTAAAAGCCAGCTCTCGCTCTCACGGTACAGCCTTTCTGCCTGCCTTACATCTCTGAGCGTTAGAGAAGATCAGGCACTGAGGACAAGGAGGGTTAGGGGGAATGGTGTGCTGTTGCCTGCACTTACTTTGTGTGTTCATCTGTGTGCCAGTTCAGCAACTTTGCCTGTCACCTTCCGCTGTGCGGAAGAAAAAAACTTCATCGACAAAAGAATTACCAGGTTCGTTCTTCCAGTTGGAGCCACCATCAACATGGACGGCACAGCTCTTTATGAAGCAGTAGCAGCTGTATTTATTGCACAACTGAATGACTTAGAGCTGGATATTGGCCAAATAGTTACTATTAGGTAAGATTAAAGCCATCACAGGCTTTTATTTTGTTGGAGACAGTTTTTTAATGAATGATACCTTAACTTTGAATATCCCCTGGGAAGGTTGAATCTATCATTCACAGCACAGGAAGTAACAAACTTTCTCAGTTCTTGGTCTGAGGCCTTGCCTATGCGATCCTGATGATGAGGTGGGATGGGCCAGGACATGCAGCTGGTATACAGCATTGTTCTGGGGATTGCTGTTATTCTTCTACTGCAAACACTTTTAAACCCAACTTGACCTATACCTCTGATCTATTCAGTTTGGTTATTAGTCACGTGTTGCCTGTTTCTCTGCAGTGTAACCATCCAGCTATCTATTTCTGATTTGTACCATCAACTTGTCACCAGACTTCGAGTAGATACTGTTCTAGAGGAAAACTGGTACATGTGGGCTTTTTTCCTGCAGTGAAATAAGTCTATTTTTGCAGAAAATAGAGTTTCTGTGAGCAACATGTATTCTGAATGCTTTTCCTGGGCTTTATTTGGGATTTAGTGTCACAGCTACAGCTGCCAGCGTCGGGGCTGCAGGCGTCCCCCAGGCTGGACTTGTCACCATGGTGATTGTACTGAGTGCTGTCGGCCTGCCTGCCGAAGATGTTACCCTGATCATTGCAGTTGACTGGCTTCTGTAAGTTTAATGACTTGATGTTTAATTATTTTCCTTTTTTTAACTTATATCACTTGTGTGGGAATATATGGGTCTGAGAAGGAAAGCAGCAAAAACATTTAGGACTGTTGCATAAGATTCTTCTTGTGAGCAGGCTTGTTCATTTTAGAGTTGAATGCAGTAGTGGCTTTAATTCTGAGAGAAGTCATGGGTCATAGAATCACGGAATGGTTTTGAGTTGGAAGGGACCTTAAAGATCATCTAGTTCAAAGCCTCATCCAGCCTGGCCTAAAAAACTTCCAGGGATGGGCCATCCACAGCTTCTCTGGGCAGCCTGTTCCAGTGCTTCACCACCCTCTCTGTGAAGAACTTCTTCCTGATATCTAATCTAAATCTCTTGTAGTTTAAACTCATTACTGCATGTCTTATCACTAGGGGCCCTTGCAAAAAGTC